AAATCCATAGTTTGGTGCTCTATCCAATTGAGCTACAAAAAAAAAAAAAAAAAAAAAAAAAAAAAAAAAACAAGCACACTGTGTTCTCATTGACTGGTATTAACTTGTTGACATAGCTCAAAATAAACCGAAAGGGATTTCAAACAAAACATGCTCACAAATGCTCAAAATAATAATGGTGTAGATACCTCCTGATGAAATTGCGCCGCCATCAGTCCATCATCATGAAAAAGCAATGAAAATGAAGTTCCAGGGTGAAAAAAAAAAAAAAATGAAAAAAAAAGAAGGGTGATGCCAGCCTTCTTTCCCACTTGCCAATATGGATGTGATCACACTTGCCCTATTCTTAGCCCACTGCCAGCCCACACCTTTGTTTCCTTTTGAGCACAACATCCATGATATAATATGGCTGAGGCGCCATTGTATTCTGGGTGGGGTGCAACAGGGTCTCGCTCCACTACTGTCCGCTATACAGAATTTCGTATAGCGGCTGTATAGCTATCAGAGCTAAAAAAATCGTATAAACCGTGGCGGCGCTCCGCTTCCTATCTGCTATACAATTCTCAAATTCCTGAGTTCACTACAAAACACCCTTACAACACTACAAGACAGCAATTTGTCAGCCCAGACTCCAGGTGGACTATCCGATTTCGCGTTCGAACGGCAGCCTCCTTCGACCACCCTCCGAATAACAACTTTTGCAGGCTGGGAACTATACAGAATCGTATGGTGAATTTGGAGGGCGCCATCTGACAGCTATACGGTGGTTTCCAAAGGTACATTTCGGATAGTAAGTGGAGCGGTGTCCCACTATTCGAAATCGTACAGCAGATAGTAGTGGAGCGAGACCCACAGTCTGGTTCCCTTTCCAGGGCGAGTCAGAAAATACCAGAATATGCACGCCATGGCTGCGATCCGGACGGTGCAGACGGTCTGGGTTTGGGTTGTTCGGGTCCAATGTCCGGTCCCCCCCCCTGAAAAACAAAATTCAATAAAACCTGAGGGCATACTCACACTAGCACTTTCCCAAATGTATCCAGGAGCAATTACAACCGCACCTGGATGAATCTGACCTCGATAGCGTCTGGAGCTTAGAAGAAAAAGGAGTCCCAGTGTGAGTATGCCCTGAGAAACAGATATGTTATGCAGCGTTGCAATTCAAACATCTTTTGGCTGAGGATCATCTTGGAATTCGCAGCCAAATACAAGGAAAAGAATAAAACGATTTTTTTTTTTTTTTGTGGGGGGGGGGGGTGGGGGGGTGGGTGGGGTTGGGTGGGATGGGGTGGGGGGTGTCAAGCCCTCCGGACAGAGGTTCGGCCGCGCATCCTGATTGGTCTGGTGTCCGGGTTCGGCGTGGCTATGATGCACCTTCCCTTCTTACAGGCGGAGGAACTTTAGATAGCATAGATTACTCCAGACTCCAGAGCTGTCCGGGTTCGGCGTAGCTATGATGCACCAACCCTTCTTACAGGCAGAGGAACTTTAGATAGCACAGAGATTTCTCCAGAGCGGAGGATTTTATATTATTTTATTTTTTGAACAAGGCTCTGGTCTATTCGTGGGGAGCAGCACGTGCTGGCAAAGGGGCCCAGCGTCCCTTACGATAACAATTTTTAACAATTGGGATGAAAATGGGAAATTGATGAGAACTCCGAGCACCCCTCTTGAGCGGAGGATTTTATTTTATTCTTTTTCTAGTCTTGAGCAGAGGATTGACTCACCCAACTTGCCAATTCGTAGGGTCGGTACTCCTCCCTCTTATTTCCAGCCCCCTTGAAAAAACAAACCTCAAAACAGTCTTGACTACAGCTTTTCTCTGTCATGCAATAGCAAGAAGGCTGCCTGAAGGAAAGTCTATTTTAAATATTTTTCTCTCTCTTCCGTTTCTCTAAGCTCCATTTAGCAGGTCACCATTACGGGGATGATAGAAGCATCCCCAAAATTGTGACCTGGGAGGGGTTGATGATGGCTCTAGCCTGTTGGTGGGGAGAAGCACCTGCTGGAAACCGGGTACAGCATAATAATCTTTTCATTTTTGGTTTCTTACTATTAAAAAAAAAATGGCGATGGCCTTGAGGTATCATCATCGAGCTGACCGGTTCCAGGTAATGTAAAGAGTTATTTTATTCATTTGATTCACATCGGGATTTGAATTCAGGTCTATTTACCGACAGTAACATGGGTGTACCAGTGGGTTAATTTTCCGTACACACGAGTGGTTAGGCACTTCACGCAGAAGAGGGACCCATAGCAAGAGCCAAGCGGGAAGATACTGCACATCCTTGTCAGTGAAGGGGCAACAATTGACTGCAGACTGATCTAGCTTTATCGGATGAAGAACAAAATCCCGGATGGTGTCGGCCCCTAGATGGTGCCAACCCCTGGCCGGACCGGGCCGGTAATGGAGGAGGGTGAGGGGGGCCAGACTCTTTGGGGGAAGTTCATGTGGCCCCAAGGACTCCCGGAAGAGAGGTGATGGCAGCCGAGGAAGGGGTGCGCGAAGAGGAGGAAGGGATCAAGGGGGGTGGGTAAGGGGGGACTAAGGTGCAGGCGTGGGAACTCTAAGACCATTGTGCGAGGGATCTGTCACCGGGCGGGGCCAGACTTCCAGTAGGAGGTAGACTGAGAATACTTCAGAGCAGAGGTTGGATATCACATGGGCAGGGCATGTGTTGTAGCACGGGGACAAAGGTGCGGGCATGGGAACTCTAAGACCATTGTGCAAGGGGAAAGGATGCCAACGCTCCACGACTTGTACTTGGAGTTGGGGTGGGCGAGGCAAAGGGTGAAGCTGCCCAATTTTGTAACAATGCGGACTGTGGCACTTGACATCGTCTCCAACTGAACAAAGGAGGAGGTGAGGCCACTGCGGGATAGGACATCAGTGGCTGCACCTGGATCACAGACGGGTGCACGGATCACGTTTTCCCGCCTGTTACGAACTTCATTGCTGCTGTTGAAAATGATGCGCTTCGTTAAAAGGTGGTCGGCATGTTGAAGCGGAAGAAGATAGGTCAGTTGTGACTCGTGAGAGTGCTAATCCACATGAAAACACATCATGAGACGACGAGCATCACACAACATGGAAGGCAAGACAAGGCAAAAAGTAAAAAAAAAAAACAATCGGAGCACAGGTGGCAATGAAAATATTCTTGAAAAGCACATTCGTTCGATCAGAGAAGGTAGGGATTTTGAGGAGGCAAAAGGGCCATAACAGGGTTTAGGGTTTAAGGGGAGTGGTAGCGTACGCGCCTCAGGACTCAGCTGCCTGCCTAGATGGTGAAGAGCTGACTCACTGTCGCCTGAATCGTATCTGAACTGCTGGATTAGGCATCAGTGTGGGACTTGGTTACATAGAGTGAGGGTGTTCCTCGACTTGAATTGTGTAGGAGTTGAATTCCTCAGTAAAGGAGGTTACAAAAGGATCCAATAAGAGAATTTTGGAATGCAGCTTGGAGAACTGCCCGGGAGTGTCTTCAATTTGGAATCAGGAACTGTCACGCTTGCGAGGCCATTGCCTCTATGAGCCCCATAAGGCCCCATTTTTGCAGCCCGTCGGCCGCCCTAAGTGAAGGCAGGCTCGACGAGGCCCTCAGGGCCCTTTTCTGGCCACTACGCAACTCAGGGAAATTCAGGCAGTTGCGCAGCGCCAGTTGGTTGAGTGAACCCAGGCCCTGGGCCGCCTGTGTGAATGAATGTGAAGCAGGCYCTGGGCTGGATACGGGYACCGGGCCAAACAAAGGCCGAAGGCAGTTGGGCACATGCAACCACTACAGGCCCAGGGCCTGCGCTCGTCGTGCTAGGCCTCAGGCTACCGGGGCCTACTGGAAGCTTCCTGGGACTGGATGCGGGCAGGCCACTTCGATATAGGGAAGGGCCTGCCTCCTCATTTGGATTCGGGTGCTGGCTGCATGCTGCGCAAGCGCTGCTGCTGCGCTATTTGCTGGCTGGCGCCTACGCTCTCACGGGCGAGCAGGGAAGGAGCACGCAGCCATAGCCAAGCTGCGCTGCTGTAAGCTGGGTGAGGCACAGGGTGGTCCTTGGGTGCTAGTGGCATCTGTGAGTTGGGGAACGAGGTTGTGAGTGTAGCGCGAGACATACCTGGTGCTGGAAGCGTGCGACATTGGTCGCCATATGCTCGTACTTCGGGAATGCTGTTGATGTCATYTTTCGGCTTCGTAGTATAGGCTAGATAGGATGTGCCACATGTAGTCTGGGCGCCGAGCGCCAGATAGGATATCAACTCTGGTTCTTCGTTGATGATGATGTTACTATTCCAGCATTGTCAATTATGAACTCTTGGTGTGTTCTTATTTGGTGAATCTCGTGATGCAATTCTGCTGTTGGTTCGAGGTCAAGACTATCTGGACTCATATGTATGATGCTGTTTGATTGCTGAAGTTCGCTATTGCTCATCTTCCTTGCAATTTGGTATCGGAGCTGCGGTACGATTGCGCTCATCTGGCACTTGTCTTCTGCCTTATGCGGTACATACATGCGGTCCGCTGGGCGAGTTTGGCCATAAGTGGTGTGTAGTGAGGAGGGTGGAGACGAGTGTGAAGGCGACCCAGGAGGTGAGGGGAATCGCCAGGAAGGCTACGGAAGTGTAATGTGGTCTGGACAGTGTGATGAGAACTATCTAATGTGCGATTGATGCTGAGGTGGAACGGCGTTCAATGCTGGTTGTGCCGATGCGGTGACTGGTCATCGCAATCGCCATTTGGTCATTTGGTGAGATTATCTCTGTGGTTGGGGGCAGCAAATTGAGGTACGTTGCTCTTAACCTTATCTTCCCTCTCCGACACTTCTTACCGTGAGGTTCTGTGTTCCTTCTTGAGAGTCCTCTCATCGTGAGGTGTCGAGTGCGCTCAACCTTGAGAGTCGGCAATGTTCACGTGGAGCATCTGGGTGGAGATGGGCGGAGCTTTCTGAAGGGTCCTGGACGAAGCACTGGGTCACAGTCACCATGCCAACCCACAGGGAGTAGAGCACGCATGCCTAGCTGCTTGTCCTTTGTTCGGCTTGCTGCGCTGTTAGATGGGTACTACTGGGCAGGCCAGCCCTACAGGAAAGACGAGCACCCGGCGTCTATAAATAAACACGGGAAGGGGAATCATTGGCTGTGATCGTCGTCCGGCTGCAACGTAAAATAATTCCTGGAGTCACTTGGGGGCGGACGCCAAACTGCTCCTGGATCAGCCAATGGTTGGAAGGCTCGCGACACGCCGAGGATAAATATACGTGCAAGGCTGGCCGTCTCAGTGGATACTCGGGGCACAGGGGTGGGCCGGACACACACACCTTTAGACACGCTACGCCTCCAGATTGCTCAGGGATGCTGACGTCAAGAGATACCCAGGGAAACTAAGGGAGGGGTTGATTCCAAGTGATAAGTTCGAGAAAATGCCATGCTGTCCTATCCACACAACTGATTTTATTTTTATGTTTTTGATTAGTTAGATGTACTGCCATTGACATCTGACAGACAGCATTAGTTAGGACTGTTTATTGTTCCTAGTGCTTCTGTTTGCGGACTACTCAGACTAAAAATAGTCTCAGTTGTAGGAATCTGACTTACCTGTTGACCTCAAGTGATATCTGTTGAATTAGCCACCCATTAATTAGTGGGTCTGTGCACTATGCTGCGGTAGGCATCTAGTATGATCTAGTGTAGACCGTGCACAGCGCTGTAGCCTATGAGCGACGAGGAGGACACCGGAGAGGACGACCACAGGATCTTGCGATCAGCAAGAGGCCCGAGAGCTCACGTGTCCCTAGGACCGGAGGGTGACAGGACTCTGTTCCGCCGGCTTAGGGAGACGCAGCAGCAGCAGAGGAGGGCTAGAGCAGCCGAGGCCAGCAGAACTTTAGTTAGCGAGGCCGGTGCTACAGCAGCCATGGCCACTTCTGCGCATCAAACTTCCCAAGCCAGTAGTTCAGGTGTCGTCGGGTCAACGGTCGCGCAGACCGTGAGTCAGTCCACTAGCATTATGGCAAGCCAGGCCGTGGTGTTGACTCCAGAGGATGTCGCCATCCAGCAGGCAGCTCTGCAGGAGGCACAACTACAGCGGGCATTAGGAGAGATAAAAGCGGAAAAGGAGAAGATGATCAGAAGAAGAGCCAGGATGCAGCGGAGAGGGGCAGATATAGAGGAGTTAGAGACGATGGACCTGAACAATATGGATGATGATGTGAGGGTAGTTAGGAGGGCCCTGCTAGGCGTTATAGAGATGCAGGAGCATCAAACTACCATCCTTCAGGACATTCAACAGAGCCTAGCCGTTTTGGCAGGCCGTGCTCAGGCAGCACCATCACCAGCCGGGCTTGGTGCCTGGCCCGTGCCATATCCTCCTTTTTCTGTCCCACCGGTGACAGGGGTATCCCCATATGTAGCCCCGTCATCGGTTGCTATCGTTTCCCTGGGCATGCTGCTGTCAGGAGGGGTAACAATAGGGAGTAGTTTGCAGGTTCCTGTACAGACAGTGTTCACTCCAAGTCCGTTGCAGGTTGCAGTCACCACGCAGCCTGCTGTCTCGCAGCCTGTGCAGCCTCAGGGCACGCAGCCCAGCTAGCACAACAACCTGCGTCACCGGGTCCACAGCCCGGAGTGATGCAGGGACCGAGACAAACTCAGTGGGTTCCAAAGACGGCCATCGCCGCTCCCAAACCTTTTACGGGGGACAAGAGAGGCGAAGACCTCGACACATGGTTGAGGGCAGTGCCGGTCTACGTCAGGTGTAAACTCACCTTGGCGCACGAAGAGGTGCTTGTGGTTGCTTCCTACCTAGAGGGTAGTGCAGCAAGATGGTTGAGTGGCTTAGTACAACTCCAGGGGTATGGTCATGACTTTCGCGCTTGGGCAGCCTCCCAGAAATTGGAGGACTTCCTGAAGATGGTGGAAGAGAGGTGGCATGATCCTCAGGAGGCCCAAAGGGCCACTGATGCGATCCTGACACTGCAACACGCGGCAGTTTAAGTCAGTAAGGGAAGCCACCGACGCTGTTGAGCGTCTGATCTGTGTCCCAAGGGTGCGCTATGACCCCCAGGTCCTGTTGACTTCGTACTCGAGATGCTTTTCACAGCCTCTCAGGAACCAGTTGGCAAAAGAGGCCAATATCAACATGCACAACTTTCCTTCGTTTAGCAAGGTGGCCCTAGACCTTGAGGCAAAGATAGGGCATGGACAGGCACCCACTACGGATGGGAGAAAGAAGACACTGCCTCCCAACTGGAAGGCGAAGGGTCGCTTGATGTTCGTCGATAATGATGGTTCCACCATCGAAGTAGATGAACACTTCCAGGAGGGAGTAGGTTCAGAGGCAGGCAGCATAGATGCTTCAGAGGGTGGAGTAGTCGTTGTCGTTGCTCAAAAAGGTAAGGCAACCGGTAGACGCCGCGGAGGCTCCCGGTCTACCGGTCTAGGAGTCAAGTTGACCCCAACGCTCCTCCATGGGAGAAAGCGGGTCTTATAGAGGACGTGTGGAGAGACCATTACACACGGCAGCCCTGCATTCGTTGTGGTCAATATGGCCACAGCCAATTCAAGTGCCGCAACAAGAAGGTGACGGAAAAGATCCCGCCTATGATGGGGCAGGTGCTGGGATCCTCTCATCCCGTTGGTAGCAACGTTGCCAGTACATCAGGCAGTGCTCTGGGAAACACGTCGGGCCAGTAGGAATTGTAGTTGTTCCTGCTAGGGTCGAGGTGGTGGAGACACCCTCACCATCTCGAGAGATGGCCCAAGCTACTGACTCCAGTGTCGTCCCGCAAACACATTCAGACCCATCGAGCCTCTGTTCGATGAATGTGTTTGAGTCCATAGAGGAGCTAGAGGTGGAGTGGTCTAGATCAGACCCGCTAGCTTCTTGGACGGCCCTTGTCAAAGCCCCTAAGGGTGAGATGTTCGTCAGCGAGGTTGTCATTGGCGGCCGCAAGGCCGGGGCCTATTATGACACTTGCTCGACTAGGAACTTTATTAGTCGCGCGTGCATTGAACGGCTGCATTTACAGGGGCGAGTGCAGTGCCTGAGTCGACCTGTGGAGTCGACCTGTGCCAACAAACAGCGCATGGTAGTCAATGACTACCTCCAAGATGTAGAGTGTTGTTTCCCGTACGTGGGAGGGGACTTGAGACATCGCGTATCGTTCCTGGTAAGTGACGAACTCCCCATGGATATGTTGTTAGGTATGTACTACCTCTCTGTGGCACAGCCCCAGTTTGACTGGGACCGAAAAGTGGTCAAACACACTTTGCCAGGTGGAGGGACCGCCAGATTACACAAGTTCAAAGCTAGTAGTCTGATTGAGTCCTACAGGTGCATGTGTGCGGCCGCGTTCTATAATTATTATAAGCAACAAGTGGACCCGCCGCAGCGACGCTGCCGCGAAGGAAGGCGGAAGAACAACATTCACGGGACAGGGGCAAGACACAGGGGTGCACATTCTTGAAGGGAGGTTCAGAGACATATGTCAAAATAAGAAAAAGCGACGCCGTATATTGAAAGGGAGTTTGAGAGAGACGGCTCAAGGCAAAAGGAGAGTTTTCCCGTATGCAGTAGTGTCTTTTGCGGCGACTCTTTCTCTCTCTCTCCATATTTCTCGCCTGCCATGTTTTGCTGTGCTTGTATCACTTTTTTTGCATGCGCTATTGTGCAGGCGGTCCTTGTGCTTGGAGAATTGTTGTGGCTCGCCAAATGATGTCCGCTCTGAATGTGGGAAATGGAGGGAGGGGACGCTGTGTTTCTTGATGGTGGAGGAAGATGAGGTCGTTGAGGTATTCCCATGTGCGGGGTGGGTGGGAGATGTTGTAAATATGGAGTGTATGGCGCGATGCGAGGAGGTCGTGAATGAGGGCGGTTGAAGTAGCGGCGCCCCATGGTTCTAGCGGAAGCCACCAGAGCGGGGCGGCGTCGTGCGATGTGTGAGGTTGCAAAGGGGCCTGGCGTGGCGGCGGTGTGGTGGCAATGAAGGTGTATCTATGGTGCGCTGCAGTGATACGCTCGTGTTGGTATTGCGGGCGGGGCGTCCTTGGTGAAGGTAGACGGTTATAGTCATTGTTGATGAGTTTAAGAAGGAATGTTTTTGTGTGGCGGAAATGGATGTTGATGTCGGGGGAGGGGTCAGGCCGCTGTAGAGACCACATTCGGTTGTGTTTGTAGAGGGCGAAGAAGTCATAAAGGTGGGGTGAGAAGGCAGCGTGGTCAGTCGTGACGAAGTCTTCCCACAGTATCTGTGTGATGATATGTTCAATGTTGTCTTTGGTTAGTAATCGCAGCCATTCATCCCATCTGATGTACGGGGCAGGGGTGGCGGTGAGCACAGAAGTAGAAGCAGCAGGATGGACAATTGTGGAAATGGTGAGAGGAGCGGATTGTGGATGCGTTGAAGATAGGCCGTGACAGGAGGAGGAAGGAGATGGGAGCGAGATGTGGGCGAGAACGTCGTCGTCAAAAGGAATTTGGGATAAAGCCGACGCAGCGAGAAGAGTTGTAGTCGCCGCTGCAGTCATTGTGGCAAAATCGAGAGATGAAGTCGAAGCCATCGTGGTAGATTTGAGAGATGAAGTCGTCGATGTAGCGAGAAGAGGTGTACTTGTTGTTGCAGGCAGCGTTGCAAATTCGAGAGATGATATCGACGATGTGGTGGGAAGCGTCGATGCAGAGGGACTTGTCTTTGTAGTTGTAGTTGCAGGTGTAGTTGTTGATGTCGAGGCAGTCATCATTGCTGTTGTCGATGCAGTGAGAAGAGTTGCACTCGTTGTTGTAGGCAGTGTTGCAGACTCGAGAGATGAAATCGTTGACGTGGCGGCAAGCGACGATGTTGAGGCACCTGCTTTGTAGTCGATGTTGCAGCTGTAGTTGCCGATGTTGAGGCACCAGTCTTCGCAGTTGCAGCAGAAGAGGCTGTGGCGGCAGATGATGGCGTCGCGATTGTTGTGTTTGCAGTCGTTGTTGCAAGCATTGGCGCTGATCTCGAAGACGAACTTGTTGAGGACGACAGTTTGGATGATGCTTTTGGTTTCTTGTGCGGCGGCTTGTCTTCATGGGCACCTGCAAGGCAGGAGCAAATGGAAAGGGAGGAGAGCAGGGGGAAGGTGAGGAGCAGAGAAAAAACAGAAGTGGGGTAAACCGGTTAAAGACGGTGTTAAGATTGTGTATTTCTATCGGTTTTTTTTTTCCCTGTTCCCGAGATGTAGTTTGGAAAAGATGGAGGCCGTGGATCGGTATTGTTGATGGAGGCAGTAATGTGTGTTCTCGTTGTGTTTGGTGCCGATGAGCGGGAGGTGTATGTGTGTGGGAGACGGGGCATTGTGTATGTCAAGTGTTTGGGAAGGATGTTCAGTTAAGGATTTCTTTGTACACAATGTTGGTCGTGTGGTCGAGCGGTGAAGGTAGAGCAAAGCGTACATGGGCAGGGTCACCCACTCTGGATGCTGCGACCTAAAGTTGGCCATGTGCAAACGCGGGGTGGTGAAGATCAATGCCAGCATGTTTGATAGATTGGCCTTGGGACTTGTTGATAGTGATCGTGAAGGCCGGACGAACGGGGAACTGGCGTCTTTGCCACGGGAAAGAGGACGTGATGTCGGTGACCGAGAGCAAGATGCACGGGAGGAGGACCGGTCGAAGGGATGGCAGGATGCGACCGTGAAGGAGTCTGTTATTTGTGACAGAGTCGACAATCAGCCGTGTTCCGTTGCAAAGGCCGTTCCTCATTGCGATATTTCGTAGGAGAATGACGGGGGCATATTTTTTCAAGTGCAGAACGTGCGGGGGCAGGGAAGGAAGATCCAATGTGTTCAAACTGTCGATTGGAATATCGGGGAAATCTTCGTTAGGGAGTAGCGAGTCAGCACTGAGGGAGGTGATGACAAGGCCAGGAAATGAATCGAGAATGATGTTGTTAAGGGTTGAGACTGATTTGTTTTTGGGTGAGAGGATTAAACGTTCTGCGAGCCATTGGGGGTTTTCAAAATTATGTTGGAGGTCGGGGAATGTCCAATTGATAAGTTCCGATGTTCCTCCATGGAGACAAAGATGAGCAGGGAGGAGAATGGTGTTGGGAGGGGTATCATGTGCATGTTCAATTTCGCCATTCCTGAGTGCAAGGAGCCATTTAGCGTAGTCTCGTCCGACAGCAGTGTCAATTTGTGTGAGGACACGCATGTTTTCAGATAGATGCATTGTGTGGAAGTGTTGCCACAAAGCGGCAGATTTAATACACACATCAATTGTTTGTGCACGTGTACCTTTGGTGACAACGGGGAGTATTTGTCGGAAATCGCCACCTAAGACCACGACTTTGCCGCCGAAGGGAAGGGGAGATRAACAAATGTCTTGTAGGGTTCTGTCTAATGCTTCAATTTGGAATTTGTGCGYCATGGGCGCCTCRTCCCAAAGGATAACAACARCCATTCGTATAAGYTGTGCAAGYGCAGATTGTTTGGGAATGTCCAAGGTGGAGGTGGCGGTGGGGGTGAGGGGTGCTTTGAATCGAGAGTGGAAAGTGCGGCCTCCGTCCAACAGAGTAGCCGCGATGCCGCTTGAAGCAACGGCGAGTGCAACTTGGTCATGGAGGCGAATGTGTGCGAGTATTGTGTTGAAGCAGAAGGTTTTACCTGTGTCGGCGGGTGCGTCGACGAAAACGCAGAGCGGTTCGCTGTTTTCGGCAGCACGGATGACGCGTTGGAAGACTGCCTGTTGGGAGGGGCGCAATTGCAGGAGATTGCAGTCAAGGGTGTGCTGAAGTTCCGGTTTGGGGTACGAAATTTCGTCATCGATGATTCGCGGGATGCCCTGGCGTGACGGCCTTTCGGCGAGGGCATTAGCCTGTTCTCTGTCTGCCGGTGGCGGAGGTGTGAGCCCAACATCGTCCAATTCTTTGCCTTCTTTTTGCAAGCGGCTTTCGATGTCGAGGAGGACCAACGCTCTGATGATTGAGGGCGGAACAGCTGCGCCGGCGAGATTCCTGTGGAAGTCATCCGTCATTTGTTGCCAATGGTTTTCGAAAAACTCATTAGGGTCAGCGAGAGCACAGTGGAGAACGATGTGAACAAAGAGGTCTCGAACCATGGTTGGCGGCGAGGCGAGGATTGCGTCTTGTAGAACAGCATCGAATTGTGTGTTGTCGTTCAACAGGCCAAGTGCTTTGCATGCGGATTGATATATTGGATGAATTTCGTCGTTGACTGTGCGAAGGTGTTCGAAGCTTGTTGCGCCGCGGGAGTGAGGGGACAGGATGAGTATTCGGAGGCAGAAGGTGTCTCCTCCGTTCGGGTGGATGGTGTGTATGCGACCAATGGTGTTTGCAGTGCGGCTGCGGACGATCCAGTTCTTTGTGGGTTTGTCGAAGCGAAAACGTTGGATCATGTCCTTGTACAGGGGTTTTGTGTTATCAGGATCGTCCAGATGCGCGGCATTCCATTTGAACCATGCTGTCAGCTCCGTTTCGGGCGGTGGGGCGTGTGCGATGCGCTGAGCTTGGTGGTTGCGAAAATACACGCGCTGTCGGTTTTCAGTATGGACAGGGAGGGGCGAAACAGGAGGGTATCGCTCGGCCATAGGAAAATCAAAAATTTGCCAGCATGATTCGGCAGCGCCGACTGTTCTCATGTCGTGGTAGGCTTGAATTTCATCTTCTGTGTTCATTGCCTCGGCGACCATTGCTCGGTCCGGCCCTTTGAGAATATACTCGAACATACACTGGCACGGGGCAGTCGATGCACAAATTTCAACGTTGAAGTGTGTGCGATACCGGAGGAGTAAGTAAGGGTTGTAAGGGACAACCCAAGAATTGTCAAGGTCGGTGTCACCACGAGCGATGACCAAGCCGCCGGCAGCAGGTGCACGCCGTTTGTAAATTGGGTATCTGGTATCTTCGTTCTACGTTGTGCGGTCGGAGAAATCTTTAGGGAAAAACCGTGTGCGGTGGTCATTATGCATGCAGGGAGCATGGATATTGTGTATGCCACACGGATTATGGATCATGTGAGTGAGCACGAGTTCTTGCAGAGCAGGGTTAGTGGGAAGCTCAGCGCAGACCACAGCGTCGATTTGCTCAGGGGTGACAATTTTGTGGTCATCTTTTAAAGTGACGATAATGTGGGCATGCGGCAAACCGCGTTTTTGGAACTCAATGACACATGTATACGTTGTAATAGCTCCGAATATGTGCGTGAATTGTATGTCGCGAATGAGTTGCCGCAAATAGCCTTTGAAGACACGCGTAAGGTCTGGTCGGTTGGACGGATGTTGGTTGGGGAAGAGGGCGGTTTGGATTTCGGGCCAGTGCGGGTTACATGTGAAAGTCAAGAAAAGGTCCGGCGCCCCAAATTCTTGGACGGTTGCCATTGCGTCTTGGTATCGACGGTGCATGTCGCGTGGACCTCCGGTGAATGTTCCGGGAAGGAAAATTCGCTGACCAACATTTTCGGCATTGTCATATTGCATAACATGATCCCGAAGATTCTGGTAGAGGTCGGCACGAATTTGCGCTTGGTGAAGGCGGTTGTACAGAAGACGACCATTTTCAATTTTAGCGAATGCCATGCAGACGTATTCTTGGAAAAGGCGGGCTGCGTGGAAGATCATTGTTCTTTCTGTTTGCCGTGTGTTTAAGTGGCAAGCGTAGAATTCTTGTGCTGTAGTGGATTGATTGTTTGTTTCGGGGTCGTCATCGGTGTCACGCGTCCACCCATCTTCGCCAGCAGGAAAGAGGAGCACATAATGAAGAGGGTCGAAAGCACGGTTTGTTTCGGCGATTGGGACAACTCCGCCACCGCGTTTGCGGATTGTGATTTCTCGATTGGCAGGCTGATCGTGCATAAGAAGACACARMTCTTTRAGACCTTCAGGTTTGTTGTAACGRYRTTCGTGTTGATCWATCGGACGTGCGTCAGGGTTAATCACAATGTGTCGGTCATGTATCATCTCGTCTGGCATTTCAGAAACAGTGATGAAATCATGGACCCAGCGGTTGCATGCATGGAGAAGAGTGTGGAACTTTCGGAGAAGGCGTTTGATCGAACGAATCGTTGCGAGGGGGGTTTCGACGGGAAGGTCAAGACGGTTGAGACGGAGAAGTGTAGCACCGTGTTCGTCTTGCGGATCGTAGATGTAGATCTGTGTGAACACAGTCTCATGGTCAGCGTCCGGGAGAAGGGGCCCCAAATTTTGATGAAGCCGCCCTTCAATGCGGAGCATACCTGGCCAGGCGCCCGGAGGGTATTGTGTCTCCTTCACAGATTGTGATGCAAGTGCGAGGGCGTTGTTAAATTGACGGGAGCGTGAGCGCAAGAGTCGGCCATCTGCAGTGTCAGCTTCCCACAGGTGGATGATGTCATGCTCCGGCGTTGCAGGTGGAGGGTATTGCCAAAGGGCAGGTTTTATTATGCCCCGTCTGCAACACAGTGTTGACCATGCGTGTTCATGCTCCCATTTATGTGCCCCACAGTGAGGACAGGCTGTTCTTTCGCCGAGTGTCGCAACAACGATGAGAATGTGTTGGGCGATGAGCACAGCAGTGTAAATACGTGCAGTATTGATGTGCGGGTCAATGCGTTCAATGTGCGTATGTCTATAACGGCGTTGTCTGAGTATTTGGTGTTGGCGTGCTCGTTCCTCAGCGGCACGAGAAGATTCGGCTGCGGTATGAGCGGAGTACAAAAGAAAGAAGAATTGAGAAAGAGAA